CCCCAAAACCCCAAAACCCCAAAACCCCAAAACCCCAAATATGAAACCTTCATTTGAAATTCTTCTTAAGTTATAATTTAATCAACCTCTAAATTCACCTTGTTTTGATACAAGTATGACACCACCTGTTCAGGGACTTCTTCGAGCACCTCCTCTGCCAATGCTTGAGAACTTTGACGTTTGAAGTCATTGAACTTTACGAATTGGACGATGTCTCTTTTAGTAGGATCGCCTCTTGAATTTTTGAGAACTACATCATCTCCATCGAGTTCAACCATGAGGTCGAAACTACTTTCTCCAAGTCCTACAATGATGATGCTTATTGGATAGTGGCTAGCTTCTACAATGTAATCTTTAGTCAAGGGCATGTCGTGGATATCTCCATCTGTCAATATCAAAAGGATATGATACATTCTATCATCCATTCTTTCTTTTACATAATTGAGAGTTTTCTTAAGGCATAATCCAAAATTGGTTGGTCCGTACAATCCACAGTTAAGAAGGGAAAATTGATAAGATTCTAAAATTCCATTTACCCCATCTACTTCGGGGTCTTCAAGACCATTCAAATGAAAGCAATGAGACACTTGGTTTGATCCGCTGTACCGAGGGATGCCTCCAAATCCGTAACAAGGATATTGCCGATTGTAATCATACAGCTCTAGGATATTTCCCACTTGTCTGATTGCATTTTGGTAGTCATTAACCTCTCCAGTGGGATTGAGGTAATGAAGCGAGCTAGGCTCTGTCACTTCTCCATTTGATGCTGTGAAGTCAACACAAACACTAAGATTCATCTTCCATCCTGAATGTAGGAAATCATAAAATGAAGCTCTTTCCTCCAAATTGAAGTTTTTAAATTTCAAGGTAGATTCTTGTTTTTCCGAGTTGTAAACAGGTTGATTATTGATATCACAAAGACTGAACTCCCTTTTTCCTCCCTTAATTTCTTCAAGAGTGGTTTCAAAATGCCCATAATACTTATGATATCCGCTGTTTTTCCACGAGTACACCTTAAATACCAGCTTTAACTTAGGATCTCCGTTACAAATCTCTCTTACCTCATACTTGAGATTTTCCCAAGTAGGATTTAAACTACCGATTATCGGTTCAACCTGAATTACTTTGATGAACTCATGATGATCTTCACTTCTTTGTCTTTCAATGTAAATGAAAGGATTATCACTACCACACAAGAGACCTTTGTTCGATTTCAGATTGATTATATCGATCCCAAAATGAACGATGTCATTATTGGCAGAGATCTTCTCAGCACAAATAGTTATTGAGCCCCTTGATCTGGTCTTATCAGGCATGGTGAGATTTCCTGTCAGTGAATTTTTAGGAGAACCCATAATTTTTCCTAAGGTAGTTTCATAATTACCAATTCTTTCGAGTCGGGTGGAGTCCACATCAAATACTTCAAATTTGATCTTCTGTATTCTCTCAAAGTAGTAGTCAACTTCGAAGTAAGTGACAAACTGGGGATTTAGATTGTTCTCGATTTGTTCTGTTTTTCCATACAATTTCCACTCTTTACCTTCATTTGGATCTTGATAATAAAAATGTCAAACTGGATCAGAGACAGTGACTATGTCTAAATCTTTCAGATTTCGTCATGAGATATGTAAAGAGACTCTCTGAGTTGGCTCCCCAAATAAGGGAGCCATGTCTTCTCTATCTTCCATTTTGTTTTAAATAATATCAGCCATATCTCCATATACTGGGGTTTTGGGGTTTTGGGGTTTTGGGGTTTTGGGG